TATCTTTAAAGTAAGAAAATGAGTGAAATGCAGTATTTAAGCGGCGAGGGCGTAAATTAGTTTAAAATACACTTGACAGACGTTTTGAGGAGTGACGAAGAACATACATGTTTATCAACAGATATTTCAAAACCGGAGACGACGGACGAATGTTGGGAAAACACACAAAACGTCTCAAACGCAGTTGCGTTTGAGACGTTTTGTGTGTTCCCCCGTTCTTCGTCCGTCGTCTCCGGTTTTCAAAAATGTCTAACATCAACCAGCTCGCCTGCCTACTTTATCTTCAATTATGCTTACCAATTTCCTCGCTAAATTTAGCGAGGGAACTGAGGGCGCGCAGGTCATGTGCAGCGTTGTAGGCGTTACCGAAGGAAAGTAACGAAATACGTTATTCGCTCCTTTCAAATAAAAAGAACGCGTTACCGTTACCGATAGAAAGTAACGTACGTTACTTTAGGGTTATTTTTTTGTATTTATGAAGTAACACGTTTTACTTTTTGACGTTACAAATATGCATAAGCGCCATATTTCAAGTAGTATTATATAAGTTCAGAAACTGAACGTAATTACCTTATTTTTACGGTGTAATTCTTTTAAAAAACTCGTGTGATGAATATGTAAAGTGTAACGTAACTACATAACACGTTATTCGAAATGAAGAACGTATTTACGTTACCCATCACAGTTTAAAAAAGTTGCGATTAGGGAGTTTTGGGGAACCCTTTGTGCACATCCGATACGGTACGAGGGGCCGTCCGGTACAAACTGCGCTTGTGGGAGACTTCTGCAGTAGCGCATGCGCAGTTCGTACCGGAGGGACCACCGTACCGTATCGGATGTGCAAAAACGGTACCCTAAAACTCTGTAGTATGTTACAACGTTACCGGAAAAAGAACGCGTTAGCGGTAACCAGTCTTAAGTAGCAACGCGTTACTAGTAACGCGTTACTGTAACTTCTTTACGTTTTTGGTAACTTGTAACTGTAACGAGTTACTTTTTAAAAATGTAACTTGTAACTGTAGTTCTATTACTTTTTCTGAGGTAACGATGAAAGTAACGACGTTACTTTTCTCGTTACTTTCCAGTTTTTATATAAAAAATATACCACTGAACGAGTACAATTTAAAAATTCTTTCCGCTTTCCAAATTTTCTCTTCTGACATTTCGAGTGTCAAGTTATTTTTGCACAAACTTGTGAATACGTTCTTTCTCGCGAGTCACGACCCAAATATAGCCACGTGTAGATTTTATGAAAAAATATACAGTTATCTTTACGCACGCGCTTGTACTTTGTGACTGAACAATTGCATCATAGTATCTTGAAGCACTATCTCTGTCGCGTTTTTTTTTCTTTTTCTGCGCAAACGCCTTTTAATTGTGTGAATCAACCGTGAAACAACAATACACGCGGAGGACGCTGCGAATGTTTCGCATTTTGATTTGCGGAACTACTCCAGCGTAATGTCAGCAGTCGAGGCAAAATTTACTATTGTTTTCGCGGGGTTTGTTTCTGGCTCGCCGGGTACGAACTGAAATATGTTCAGGGACTCCATGAACCCACCGCAATTATCAACGAGCCAGCAATATGCCTGTGCTACCAAGGATATGAAAGTTGATGACAACAAAAAAGGACTACCCTGGCCGGCGTACAGAGAGTATTTTGCTGAGGCGTAGGCGGTTACTAACAACTTCACCGCACGAAACGACATTCTGTTGCCTCAACGCCTACCCGGCAATCTAAAACCTGTTCCTGCGACACAACACAGCAGTCCCATCCAGCGCGCCAGATGAGCGCCTGTTCAACAAGGGCAAGAACATGTTCCTTATCAAACAAGGGAAACTTACAGACACTAATTTCGAGAAGCAGCTGCTGCTAAGTTACATTATGAAGTAAGAAGCATACTTTTTAATTGTATGCAATAGAACTTGGTGAAAAGCGTTTTCTAGTTTTTCCTAATTTTTTTGTTATAGAAAAGTAACTAAAAAGTAACGTCGTTACTTTTTAAAAGTAGCTGTAACTGTAACGAGTTACTCCTTTGTTGCGGTAACTATAACAGTAACTTCACTACTTTTTTCTGAAAGTAACTGTAACTGTAACGAATTACTTTTTAAAAGTAACTTACCCAAGACTGGCGGTAACGCCGTTACCTATAACGCGTTACCGCCAGCACTGGTCATGTGACATCAAATTTCCCGCCATATGTTCTAAAGGGCATTGGTCTATACATGTCATGTGACGCAGGGTCACGTGATGTTAATTTTCCCGCTAGTTTTAGCGGGGAAACTGATTTGGTGCATAGGTTTCATGACGTCAGATCACGTGATATCGATGTTTGCCCCTAAATTTAGGGCGGAAACTTAATGTGTGCGTAGGTGACATGACGTCAGGATCATCACTAAATGCAGCGTGGAGACCAAATCGGCGTATACAGTATATCTAGAAGCCTGTGAGTGGCAGCCGACGTTTTGATAAGAAACGTAAGACTTCTCTTTCCTTGGCTTATGCGCTCCCTCTGAGTCTTCTAAGAGTTCCATTCAGGGTTATTTATAGTGCGATAACTGGGCCTCGGAATGCACCGTCATATCACGAAGCGTGCAGTGACCTGGTAGCAAATACTATAGTATATATATACAAGTGTGTCTGAATAGAGTTTTGTTTTTAGTATGGCGTCCAGTGTGCGACTTCTCACACCTACCAGCATCGATCACGTTCGTGAATTGTAATCTCGTAAAGCTAGAATGTAAAATCTTTATAGTGACTGACAAATTGAAATTATTTGATGCGTTCGAGTAGCGAAACACACTTAGAGGGTCCGTGAATGGGGCACTTATGGCCGGTAATCGGGTGACCCTTCTCTCCCGCACAGTATTATCTAGTTCTAGGCGCCACAGGCTCCTTCCTGTCGCGCCTCATGGTCCGACGCGGCTGTCGGCTGCAACGTTTTCGAATTTTTGTTTTCTTCTATTTTTAAGTTTTTACGACTTCGTCGTGTTAAACTTCCGGCAAGCCCGACTAAGTTAATGGTTCTAGAGTGGAGATAATGATCTTGTTCATTTTGAATACACTGCGAGACTGACGGGTCGAGACAAAACAAATTTGTAGTTGGAGTGGAAAACGAATGTGAATTTCACAAGTGCAATTTGTTAAGAAAAAAAACAGTGCAAATAATCAAACGCTGATTCCTGCCTTATGATTTGTGAACTCCCTCTTCTGAGCTCTAGTTAGCCCAAAGGAAAGATTTCACGTTTCTTTAAAAGGGGCTCACGAGTGAAGCTCTTGTCGAAGGAATTTAGAGACGGTGTTGTGTTTGTCCCCCTTTTTTCTTTCGTTGTCTCGATGTTTTTTCTCACTAGGATACGTTACTTGTTACTTGAAAGAAAAGGAACCCGTTACCGACCTAGGTTATCTCAATATAAAAGCAACGCGTTACCGTTACCGTTAAAAAGTAACGCACGTTACGTTTTGTATTTATGGATTAGCATGTTGTACTCATTTGACATTACAGGTATGCATCAGCGCCATATTTCAAGACATAATATGTACATCCAGAAACTGAACGTAGTTACCTTATTTCTTAGAGTTCTACAAAAAAAAAAAAACATATCTTCGCGGTTTTTTAAAAGGGGCTCACCAGTGAGGCTCATGTCGAAGGACTCTGCGCCGATCTTCCTCAAGTCCTCGACCGTCCTCCAGGTAAGCGTGAGCAGCCTGTTCTGCGAAAGGTCCACGGTCACCAGATTGGGCGCCCCGACGAACATATTGGCAGGCAAGACGCGCAGCCGGTTGTGGGACAGGTACAGGACCGTCAGGTGCGCGAGTCCGTCAAAGGCCACCGGATCCACCTCGGAGATCCCGTTGTACTTGAGGTCGAGTTCGGACAGGAGGGGCATGGCGCCGAAGACCCGGGCGTCCAACCGCTGCAGCTTGTTCCTGAACATGTCCAGTCGCTTCACCTGGGAGAGGCCCTCGAACGTGCGCTCGGTCAGGTTGGTCATCGCGTTGTCGCTCAGGTCGAGCTCTCTCAGCTTCGAGAGCCCCGCGAAGGCAAGGTCCTCGATGACCTCGATCTGGTTCCGCTCAAGGAACAGATGGGCCAGCAGGGGAAGGCGGGGGAAGGAACGCGTCGTTAAACGCTCGAGTTTGTTGTCTCCCAGTTCGAGTTTCTTCAGCCGTGGTAAGTGGGCGATAGAATCCTTCTGGAGCTGCGTGATCCCGTTGGAATCGAGAGAAAGGACGGCGAGCTTGGAGAGGTTGTAGAAAGAGTGACTCTTCAGAGAGCCCAGCTCGGCCTGTGAGAATTTGAGGCGCTCGAGGAGCGGTTTCCGACGCAGGAACACACTGGGCACAAAGTCCAACTTGTACTTCTCTCCGAACGCGGTGAAGGTGACCGCCGCGACTGACGGTAGCCTTTCCAGGGACTTGAAGACGGCATGGTCGGCCGACAACGTCCTGAGCACGAAACACGTCACTTCCGTGCCGCCCTCCATGCCGGGGTCCCGCGCTTCGTCGCAGCGACAGGACATTGGCTGGTCTGCGGGCTCGCACACACTGGGGGTCAGCTCTTCTGTGGATTCTGTCAACGTATGCGTCTGCGTGAGCAGACCCAGAAGTGCCAGTGCTGGAAACCTGTAAAAGCGAACCGGGGTTGCGCCGTCTCGGCATTTGCGAGGAATTTGCGTAACAAACTGGGGAATTTGTATCATACGTACACACGTTCAAAATATCCCTACTCTCTTCGACACTCTTAGATCATCCTGAGTGCAAACTGACCCACGATGCGTCCCAAACACCAGTCATCAATGTTTATTTTTAAACATGTTAGGCAGTGGTAACGGCGGGCGCGCCATGGCACTTCTTTGGTCATTCAGGTGGCAGTTACAAAAGAACCTTCTCTCATTTTTCCACCGAGGCCAGCCACTGGAGTGTAATACGGATTGCCGTTCTTAATAGTTGAGACGAGTAGAGATAGATTTGTACCTCGCGCGCATCGCAGTACGATATGCACGCCGAGGCCTCTGAGAGGGTTCGTTCCTCGACGTCACGTGGCAAGTTAACGGCTCCGATTTATGGAGGAACTCTGCAAATGTCGAGCAATAAAGAAGAGGATTATGAAATACAGGTGCAATCGAATGCAGAGTTGATGGGGCAGGCTTGGGATTAAAATTCGTTTTTAGAGGTGCGCTCGCATCCTGCATCTATTTCACCAAATCATGGTGCGGGCTGCAAAGAAACCATGTTTTAGCACGACTGTAGTCTGTGGGGACCCTCTCCCTGGCTCCCCCGCGCTCCGTGACCTTCCCGGTCCCCGCCGCCGTATTGTCGGGCGCTCCTTCGTTCCCTGTGACCTTCCCGTTTCCAGTCGCCGTCCAGTCGCGGAACGTCCGAGCTCTCCGGGAGGGATGGGGCAAGCGCCCCCTCACCCAGCGCTGACGTCGGAGGGTCGGTCGCAGCAAGGTTCCCGATTGGACGGTCGGCGGGACAAGGACTTGGGAAGGTCTTAAGAAGGGCAACGGAGACAAAGGAAGAGAGCTTGGGCTGCCGACTACACAAGGGACCGGTCATGGAGGCGAGCTCGGACGGCGCTGGACGCTGGCGCAGGGAGTGCGGGCACAACGTCGAGTGGCGGACTCGACAAACGGACCGGACAGCGACCCTGGACGACGACGTCCCCATGACGCGGTGGGGACGACCACCGCTGGGACTCAGATAAGCTGCTGTGGCAGCGGACTCTCCCCCGGCCTCGCTGATGACGGTCCCCCGATCCCGAAACCCCCCAAGGCAATGAGTGAGTGAATAAACCCTTTTGCCGAGAGCGAAGTATTGCAGTGTCATATTCATCCGGAGACAGGGTCTGAGGGAATCGGAGTTCGAAGATGCCCGCAAGTCTCAGCGGCTTAAATGTTTGCCGGGCGGCACTCGGTCCAAAGACCGTCCGCTCGAACCCCATTTTCACTTGATGGCTCTACTTGGCATTTCCGGAGAGTCAGAAACATTGCAACTGTTCAGCTATAGTACCAAGAGGACAGCCATCTTCGGAATTTCTTCCAGATAAAGACCGCAGTCAGTGTGATGGCCAACTGCATCGAATGTGAAAGCTAATTGGAAAGTCCAAGGCAACAACCGACGTGTTTTATGCCCCATTTTTTCACCGTCTTGCCTAATTAAATGGGAAAACTGCGAGGAAGTTCTGGCGCCTTCGGCGTGTTACGTTCGCCTATGCATAGTCTCGTCCGAAAATATTCATGGTGATTGCAACCCCACTCCGGCTATTATCAATTCTATCTTATAGAAAGGTTCGCTTTCTGAAAAGCTATCATGCTTGAGCCACCGTTCGGTTTTTGTGACATACCAGTGTTTGTTTTGGAACTGGCGGTTTTCCTAGTTGCAGGCTCACGAAAACTATTAACCTAATTGGTGCTCAGAGGATTTACCAAGATAGTGTTCGCTGGTTCCATCCTTACTAAAACCCTGTTATTAAGGTTCAGTTTTCTTACTAAATTATTCGTGTTAGCTCTTTTTCGACAATCTACTCTTCTCGAAATCTCGAACAAACTAGGCAGCCCCTTAAAATGTGCAATTAGCTAGTCAATTTTCACATAAAGTGGTAACTACGGAGCAAGGATTGGAAAGAAGGACACAGCGAGGATTCATTGAAAGAGTGCAAACGTTACCTCGCTCTTCTCGCAAAAAAACGTTGCTAAAAACATCTATCTTGCTATAGGTGAAGGTTATGTTCACGCAATGAAGCAGTACTTGAAACTTCGATAGCTAAAACAAATTTGATTATAGATTAGAAATAACGCCGGCCGCTCTGAAGAGTGCTGTAATATGGTATATGAAAGGTTTTCAAGCAATCTCTACCCGTAGAGATCTCAGAGAGTCAAACAATTTGATCTACAAAGGAAACGCGGCAAATGACAACGTCGGAAAAATGTATTTAGCGAAATCTTAATTAATCTACGTAACACAGGGCACGAGATGCTACGAACTCCCAGGATTTCGTGCCTCAGTGTCGCAGCGTATGTAAACTTGTCATATGAGTCAAAACGTATTTCCGGCATTCGCATTCTCTGAGCTCCCTCCATAAATATTTGGGAAACAACTACTTGTGACACTTAAGAAGCAGTGAGGAGTGCAGGGTGCGAGTTCATGGGCTACCATAGCTTTGACTTGAGTGCCACAGATCATTGACGCCATCTATCGTGCTCTGCACGAATGTAGACGCACGAGCATCGTTTCATGGGGCACAGTTGGCAACGCTGATATCCTCCGCTTTATTCCTTTTTAAACTGCGACCCAAAGTATTCTCGATGAAAGTATTCTCCAAATGAGCGTCTCGTGAACGCTTCACCTTAATAACTTGAGCGGACTTGACAGAGGCAAGTACTTTAAATCACCCTACTACACATCAAGTTGCGCGAATTATTAAAAAAAAAAAAAAGAAAACGACTCACGGCAATTATTTTTCGCAACAACTACAGATATCCAAGTTTTTTTGTTTATTTTTGCACCATTTTTAGTGAAAAGCGTCACTTGAGTATATACTCTTAAAACAATCCCGTATTATTATTCCTTTCAAAAGTGATTTTGACTTCCTCCTTTCCTCGTTCTTAACGCGTGTATTTTTTTGTAAGTAAATAAATTATAACATTTTTGAAGAAACCACCTCTAGAAGAAAATCATATAAAGTACAGAAACCAAAACACCCAGTCCCGAAAAATTAAAAAAATATAAATACAGCAAATGCTGTCAAAATAAATAATTGGCGTTTATTCTAAAGCAAGCCTTCCGGGTTTACTTTCTATTTGAGGGATGCAGCCTTGCGTCATCCCTCTCCAACCGTCAAAGGAAAGTGGGCGGCAGCGGTGATACTTTTTTCTTTTTTTTTTATCTTTAAGTCAGTGAAAAACGCAGAAGCCTGCAACAAACTGAGATATGGTGCGCTTTGCGATATGTAGCGCTTAACGCATGTGCCCGGAATTTCCCGGAAACCACAAATTGTCTCTCCTTTGTCAGCGGGTTTGAAGTGCCTGGACGAAAACGGTCGCGCCTTGCGCCTCGCTTTTTTTAGGATGTGGTCCTCTCCGGGGGATTTATAGGTCGAGGATGAGTCAGTTGCGCTGTAATGAGGTTATGCGAAAAAAAGGTTTACACAAGGGGGAAAGCCTCCGCCTCCCGCGCCGGATCGAGCCACCAGACTTGGGAGGGACAAGACAACAACTCGCGTGAAAACTGACATACCGCTCATCCGCTTCTTCATCTCTTAGATCGGTGTCAGTAGCTTGTGTACTGATTATTCGCTTTTTCTAGCGATACAGTCGCCACCTCGCTGATCTCGGCAGAACTACTCCCAAGGGCTGTAGGGAGTGACGTTCCTTTCAAACGGACTTTCCGTCTGCTAGTTTCGGTCGGGTAAACAAATTAACCTCGGGGACAACCACAAACAGTCCCAGAGGGTGCAATGTAAAACATGCCACGAAGTTCGCGGAGTGCGAAGAGGGAAAGGTCTGTTCAATTCCACTAAACTGCGGCAGTCAGTACATCGGAAAAACTGGGAGATGCTTCAGCCATCGACTCAGAGAACACAACTTGGAAGCATCAAAGGCTTCAGATGAGCCTTTTCACACAATCATCGTTCACGGCCGAACGTGCAGTGACTGTACTTCTTATTTCTGTGATACTAGAATACTGTATGGGCACATCTAGGGTGCCTCAATGTTCTTTTGTTTAGGGTGATGCCACCCTTTGTAGTACCCGATGCCGACAGCACGCGCTCACGGGTAAAATACAAAAGAAATCGGCGAAAACAAAATCTCGCCACAGCACGGTCAGCGCCACAGACGCGTGCAGGGACACGCTCTTTCACGCGCTTCTGAAAAAAATAAAAAATAAATAAATAAAAGCGTGAGACAAAATGGCCAGATGTTTCCACCCTAAGCAAAGCGCACATGAAGGCACCCTAGGCACATCAACAGATTTGGAAAAGAAAACATTGAATCATTTCCCATGGAGATTTACCCCCCCCTCCCCCCAAAAAAAAAAAAATTCTTTACTTATATTATCACTGACAAAGACAGAGGTCGAATTTTTTGCACCAAAGATAACTAGATAACTGATAGCTCATCGTGACGCCTGCGCTTTTTAAAGCTTTATGTTAATAGTAAATTCCCGTTCCTTTTTATCAATTTTCTAGTTTACTTCTTCGAAAACGTTGAAACCTCTGGGGGTGGCCGGTGGTTGTTATTTTGCGCCATTTATTTGTTGTTGCAAGTTGCTAGGCTAGGTGGCGCTAGGTACCGCCCAATTCATGTTCTACAAAAAATAATTTAATTTTCTCAGGTTACTATTGCGCATGAGGATCCTCTACTATACACACAATACGCATGGTACAAGCACCACGTGAACATACATTGAGCACATACACATACATGGCCACATACAAGCATCAATACATACACAACACTAGCCAGAACACTACACCCGTGCCCCGTGCTCTGCGTTTCTGCCTTTTATACTGGTCGTTTTGAACGTACAGAATTTTTCGGTGACTGAATAAGCAATAAAAAACATTACCAGCATGTTGATTTTTTTCCAGCAATGTCATACCTCTGAGAGTGTTTGGAATGGCTCAGGGGATGAATCTCTTATTAAAAAACTAACGCTGGATCACGCCGTAATTATTTGAAAGCAATATATCAAGCCGCTCCAATGCGGTTCGAAGCCATGAGTTTGTTTCCCCGCACGGCACGTCGTAGCCTGTATTTCTATTGTAGTGTTTGTTTTTCTATTTGTGCTGTTCGCGCAAGGCTGCAATTGCCGTCTTGAATTAATCTCTTTAGAGCGGATATTCACTCAGCTGGAAGTAATGCTTCAAGGGCTGAGAAATCGCTTTTCGATCAACTTGAATGCAGTCCAACCCGCGACTTGCGGCAGGTGTTAAGTGTACGGAGCTGCGCCGTGGCGAGCCCGAAAACTTCTAGCGCTCATCCCAGCGCGCCACTTGGAGGGCAGTTTCTCCAGGAA